TCCAACCTGATATTTTGAATTACTATATGAGGATTAATGTTTCTTTACCACTGACAGAAAAGAATACTGAAAATGTTTGTATCCTTATAGGTCAGTATTACTCCTTTTGGGGGGGGGAGAATGTGTATGTTCTGGAATTATGGAAATCTGTTAAGAAAAAACACTAAAAATCAATTTTCTGTCAAGGCAGAAGAGAGAAATAAGCTGCACTTGCATTTTATTTAGTTTGGCATATAACTTTTTTGGATACATCAGTAAAGTACAGAAGTTTTCATGTTAGCTATGGGACTGAGTATTAATTTTCCATTCCTGTTTAACTACCTTTTTTTAGACTTAATAAAATTACATTTGTTCTGCTTATGCTACTTTATAGCAAGCCAGAAGAGGGTACTGTAGTGACTACGTATCTTGCTGAGCTTTTTGCAAATATGTGTCAATACCTACTCACTTAGAGCAAAGATCCATAGCTTCCAAGGACAAAGTCACTTTCGAGCTAGCAACTTTGCTTTGACGCAATTGCTCAGACTCAAAATAAGCATGTATGTGTCATCCAAGACTATTGACCATGTTACTTTAGAAATTTTCACCTAGTGTATAATTTAGGTTAAAGTCATGCAAGTGATGTGACACCAAACAAGGACAGTCAGTCCTACTTCATTTTTTTAAGAACAGCTTATTACATTAGAATAGGATTTTAAGCACAAAACTACAGTTAAATAATTTTTAATATGCACTATGTTCCAAGTTAAGGATGGATTATCAGCTTACCTTCAATGACTTCTGAGTACTAAATTTAAACATCTATAAAGACCTTGTTGTATTTATTCCCTTGGGTTTGTTTTGTCTTTTAAACCTTCATGAAAGGTTGTAAAGAGTATAATTTTCTTAAAGAGAATTAAATGTTGCAAATATGTGTATTTAGGTGGTTTACTAAAAAGAATTAATATTTGCCCTATAAACCAGAAAGGCTTTACACTTGTTAACTATATTCATTTATATTCATAAATATTTTTATGTGTATTATTGATGCAATAAGCCATAATGCTCCCCGAGGAGCCATTTTGGTCTATAAAATACAGATGTATATATTTAAACCAAAATACACATTTACCTGATATAAATGGTTCCTTCAGAACTGATCTGTTTACCAGTTCATATTTATATGTATTTTTGATTTGACAGCATATGTTGGCTAAGGTCTATTGTAAAAAAAGAACCCAAGCTATATAGACGTGTCATACCATTTTTTATAAGATGCATTTAATTATATAGAAATGTCATGAGAAATTAAGTGTGCATGCTCAATAACCCCTATTTAAACATGAACTTCTTTTGCCTTAAACACATTATAATTTAAGAAGAGCCTAACCCACATCAGAATAATAATCTGCAAGATTCTGTTTAAAAACAAAGCCAAAGAAAGCATCCGAATCCTGTAAATCCTTGGTTTTAGTCCCACATATTTAAAAATCAGAAGGATGACGTTTTAAAAAATTTACAGACAGATTTGCACATAGGCAAAACTCTGCATGTTAAGTTTTTGCCCCAGACAAAATTTGTATTGCAGCACAACTCCTAAAATACTTAATTGGCGTAACCAACTCTTGCAATTGTATTGGAAGTCTTGTGATACTTTGTGACTTTTCCTTAAAGCCCCAGCTTCTGGAGATGTGTGATTAGGTAAGAATATCAGCTTCCATTTGAAAACTAAATTAAGGTTCTAGCCCTCAGGGTTGCTGAGAAAAAAATCGAAAACATGACCCAAGTGAACCCTAATGACTCAAAAGCCAGGAGGCAAATACAAAGAACCCTAAAATGTATTTACATTTTTAAAAAATCTCATGCTTTTTAAGCCAATCTCGTGATTTTGTTGGCCTGACTCATGATTTTTGAACACATAGGGCTGGCAATACACAGCTCTAAGTATAACAATGCTAAGAAAGACATGGGGTGCTTAGTTAAAATTATTTTAAAAAATCCTCAAGAATAGATGTATACTGTATGCCAAGTGATGGAAGTATTGACATGGATGAAAACAGGCAAAAGAAATTATTTTGGGTTACTGCCCATGCAATCACTCTCTGTAAATTCCTTGATACAAACACAACAAAGTAGCTCTTTTGACAGCAGTTGGGGACCCTAAGCCTAGTTATGACAAAAGTTTCCAAAATTTACTGCTTACTATATTCTTCATGTAGTAAGAAATTGCACTTCAAATATTAAGCAAGAACTCATGATGTCATGGAATATGGGTCTGATCTAACTCTCACTGAATTCAGCGGGAGCCTTTCCATTGACTTTAATGGGTTGTATCTGGCTCTGAAGAGAAGTGGGGCAGAAAGAACAACACAGTTTCTCATATTTCAGGTTCCCTTTGAGAGCAGGATCATGTGCCAAACATGAGGAAAGTAAAGGTCTTGTTCTAGTCACCTCAAATAAAACAATCATTCATTTCTTCCCCAGTAGCTTGTGAAACCTGGCTCTCCTTAAAGGAAAATGAGCAAAGCTGTTTCAAAGAACTGGAATAGAATCGAACAGCCAAGAATTTCTGCAAGGGGTAGAGAAAGGGTCAGGCGAGGGCAGCAGATCTGCTTTGATTTTTAACATGCACTGTCCAGCAAGGCTGCATTGACATCTTAACCCATCCCCCTTTCTCCACCCACCTGCCTCCCTCTGTCTTCCATAAAAATAGAAAAGGTAGATGACTGACAAAGCAATTAGAGACAGATTAACAACCCTCAAATGCTGCTTTGCACTGTCCAGCTTCTTTTAATTCTACACATTCTTTTGTGGGGAAGGGGCAAACACACAGTGAAAAAAAGGGGGGAGGAGATGAAGCCATCTGAAAAGTCTTTATGCAATCAAGGGGATATTATTTCAGGACACTGAGAAGGGGCAAAGGATTCGTTGCTAAGGAGACACTTCGAAGCTGACATTCCTACATAAATTTACATTTATCCTGAAGAAGGAAAAGAAAGCTGTCCTCCAAAGTTTGTTTAAATTCCCTGGTAACTGAACCAAGATGACATTTTTAAGAGTAATTTTTGCATTACACAGTCTAAAACAAATAACACTAAACCCCACCATACATTACCCCAGACACTGACAATGAATAAAATAATTTAAGACAACCAACGAAGGGAATTCTGTAATATTGTTTTCAAGCAGAGCTTAGATTGGTTCTGAGAACTACAAAAAGATTTCAGAGAAGCCAGGAAAAGAAGAAATGCATGCATTAAAAACATACAGTACAAAACCAGGCTAACAGCTAATGATCTCTTCCCTTGCACGGTTACCAAAAATCTGAGGGCAAAGACTGACACCAATAGATGCTTTAGCAGTTTTTTCTGTGCGGGTTTTGATTTAACTTGTAAATGTTTCCATTGGGACTCCAGAAGTTTTTGCAACGAAGCCTAGAAAAACCCGTAAAAAGGCAGATTTTTTAAACGAATGGAATCCAAGAGACAGCTTGTTTGTTTCATTCACAGACCGTTTCTGAGTATCCCAAGCAGTTTTTAAATAGGAAAGGTGCCCCCTCTCCCCCCATCCATGAACAAAAGAGGCAAAAAACTGAAGAAACACCAATAGACCCAAACGAGAGACGTGATTATAGGGCGAAAGGAATATGAAAGGAGAGGAAAGGCAGGGGTGAAAGTAAGATAAAAGACTTGCCGGTATGGGGGGCCGGCTCCGGGCGGAAGGGGCGGGGCTGGGGGTCAGCCTCCCCAGCCAGTCCTTCCACGCTGCCGGGGCTCCAGCCGGGACGGAACCCCGGGCCCTTTTAAATGGCCGGGCCCCGGGGCAGCTGCCCCTTTTGCCCCCGCCCCCATCGGCGGCCCTGCAGGTAGTGTAGCTTTCCTGGAAAGGATATATACTTGCTAAGAAGGGAAACACATAACCAGGGGGGCAGAGAGGAGCAAAGGGATGACAGAATCCAGAGGGTGTCTGCTCAGGACAAAGTAAAAAAACAAAACACAAAACAAAACAAAAACCGATTTCTTATCTAGGCTGATCTGCAGATCACTGGGCTGGAAGCCCCAACTTTACAGGCAGATCCTGCTGGTTACTTTGGAGGCGATATAAAAATTGCTCCTTCTTTGGTGAACAACCACCAGCGGTCAAAAACCAGAACTAACCAAAACTCAGGGCCTTTTGGCATAGCAAAGACAAATGCAGCCACCTAGCTGATTTACAGAAACTACCCATTCTTAACCCGCTCCTGCCTCCCTGACCACAAAATAGAGAAAGGGCTTGGTGGTACGTGGAATTGTGGCGCTCTCGGCACATATGCATTATTTAGACAATCACTTATCTATCCATTTGGAACTAGCGAGATGGATGAGTAGAAGCAGAGGTGCAGGACTGGGATGCAGTATGGCAGAGTGGAACCTGGAAGGCAGCGCTAAAGGAGACAAGGGAGACTGGACTGCATTACTAGATAGGAGAGGACTGGGATTGGGATGCAGCACTGAGGAGGAGAGGCAGCAGAGAGGGAGACTGGGATGCAGGCTGGCTATGGAGGGGGAATGGGATTTGGAGACAATACTGGCGGATAGGCAGGCAAATGAGGATACAGTGCAGGGTGGAAGGTTAGGGGACTGGGGTAGACTGGGTGGAGTAGTGCTAGGTAGGAGTGGTGGAGTGGAATGGCTAGGGTATAATGGGTGGGAAAGCTGGGTATGGGTGGATATTATGGACGGCTGAAGGGTGGGGGATGGATGGGGTGGTGTGGCTAGGTCGGAGTGACTTGGGGTAGAAGGGCTGGCTGGTTAATGGTAGACATGGGCAGCTGAAGGGTGGCGTGCTGGGTAGGGGTGGATGAAAGGTGGGATGGCTCGGTAAGAGTGACTTGGGGTAGAGGTGCTGCCGGCGGCTTAAGGGTGGGATCGCAATGGGTGGCTGGGGGTTGCATGGCTAGGGGAGATGCTGGGGAGGGGTGGCTACAGGCAGCATGGCTGGGGAGGCGGTGGCAGGGAAGGGAGGAGGATGCTGTAGCTCACCGCTGTGCAGGGTGGACTCGCAGAGCCAGCTGTCCAAGTTGCCGGGCTTGCGGCAGGACTCCCACAGGGACAGGTAATACTGGTGGTCGGCCGTGACCCAGGCCGGGCTCAGCACGGCTCCCAGATCCAGGCACAGCGACAGGAAGATGCACATCAGCCCCACCAGCTTGAGCGGAGTCAGCACAGACACGCGCACCTCCTCCATCCCGCTGCCGGCTGAAGCCATGGGGGCCGGGGCAGAGCCGCCGCCGCTGCCACCCCCGGCCCGGCAAGCGCAGGAAGGAGAGAGGGGCAGCCGCGCTGGTGAACTGCAGCCAACCCAGAGCCCCGCGGCGGGGAGCGGTGCCGGGCTGGAGGCTGGACCTCTGCTCCGAGCCCTGCCCTGTCACAACGCACCAGGTGCGGCAGCACCAGCTCCCGCCAGTCCCCCGGCTCTCTGAGCGCGCACAGCCCCGCTCCCCGGCTCTGCCCAGATCACTCCTCCCCTCTTCCCTCCTCCTATCTGGGGAAGGGGGGGGAGCTTGCACCGGGCCCCCCTCCGAGCCACGCACGTCACGCCCAGGGCTTCCTCCAGGGAGCGGGGGAAGAAAAGGCGGCCAGCCGCCTGCCTGGCCCTCCCCTCCGACACACGCTGATCTCCCCAGCCAATTGTGGGGAGAGTTGCCCCAGCCTGTTGCCCGGCTCCTGCGAGTGCCGTGGTGGTGGGGAAAGGGGCTGCAGTGCCGGGATGTTAACGCCGATTAACTCCCCCTGGCGGCTCCACCCCCCGGTTCGCCGCGATCCCCTCCTCTGCCTCCCCCCGATAAAGTTTTGAGGAACTTTTAGCTCTTCTCCACTTCTCCAACCAGGGCAGCCTCTCGCTCCCACTCTGCGTCAGCTTCTCACCCTCCTCCCTTTCTTCTCGGCTGTGCCTGCCAGCCCCTAGAGATCTGCTCCCGGGGGCTATTTGAACCTGAGCAGTTTGGAAATCAATTCGCACAGTTTCCAAATCAATCCTGTTTTCCAATTTACGCCACCTAGGGGTTGTCTTTCTCTCTTTTTAATTTGGCCGGATTCATTTCTTTAGCAATCTGTTCAGACACAAAACAAAACCCTTTCGGGACCATTAAATACACAAGGTTTCTCTGGGGAAGGTTACCAGCCCCGCTGAGAGACCGTGCAAATAAGAAAGCACAGCACCGTGCAGACGAGATCTCTTCTTCCCACCCTACCCAGGCACCCCTACACACGGAACTCTCCACTCATAACTTGGGTAGGAGGTGACCTCGATTAACGCCTATGATCTCAGTCGTCTGGGAGGCGTGAAAGTAGATTATGCAGTTGCTAATCTAGTAGTTAGATTTTTTTAACCCTAAACTTGTTTTCGTGAGAACTAATCCACCAAAACCATACTTGAAAAGATATGGTGGGTTTTTTAAAGAATGCTGAGGGTTTGTCCCAGTCTGGTTCAGATGACGATTCTCTCGCCCCCCCCCTTTTTTTTTTTTTTTTTTTGGGACACTAGTCTGAATCACTTTCGGGCAGGGAGGGAAATGAACCCAGCGGACAGGCACGAAAACAAGAATGTGAGTGAGGAGGAATGCCTTTGAAGCTATGTTTGGAAGTAAGGCTAACAGTCCCCAACTGGTAGGCCTACTTCAAACACAATTATTTTGCAAAGTATATTAACAAAGAAATGAAAGAACACTTCTGGTTCAGGATTAGCAGCGAAGGGTGTCGACTATAATTCATTCTTTTAAGGATGAAACCTTCTGCCACTTCTAAACCCCAAAGGGTGTGTGTGTGTGGCTTTCAAAAACGGAAACATTAAATCTTTTCTTGCAAATGTAGGCTAGTGTTTTCCATTTCCCTCTCTTTAACTAAATCTCTGACCCCAAATTTAGTCTTAAAATTTTGGTGCCGTGCAGGAGTTTTGTTTCCGTTTTGTTTGTTGTGTTTAATTAGCACTATAGTGCTGTGAATGTCAAGGGCATATGTTTTAGAGTCATTATTAAACATTGATACTGGTCCTATTCACTTCACTTTCCAAATCAACTCACAGGAGAAAGAAGGAAACAGACTGGGAACATTTCTGGTGTCAAGCAAGAATTATTTTTTTAATAAACTGATTAAAGTCCCAGATTTTCAAAAATATATTGATTATATATCATTATATGTATATTTGAGGTAGGACTATGAAAAATGGATAGGCGGGAGAAAGAACTTCAAGAAAGCAATAATCAGACTCTCTAAACACAAGGAACTGTTTCCTAAGCCATAATAATTATTTTGCATGCATGTTATCCATCTGTGACATAGCACCCCATAATGCTTCATAGGAATATGCTTATGAATGTATATATGACATAACTGGAATATGTTTTATGCTACATATGCCATGTAACATATCTCTGTAAAGTTATGATCTACTGATATTCATCCTATTTGTATGCATGTGTCATTTTTGTACTCAAAGTTATGAATATTGGCTGTGTACTTGCATTTGGTCAGCTTCTTGAGAAAGGAATGCGCAAATTAAGTGCCCAATCAAGAAACACTTAATGAACAATGGATCTTGGAAGGCTCCAATCCACATGAGAAGTCTACTTGAGGACATTCAAGGTAGCATGTGAACCATGTCTGCTACCTGTAAGTTCTGTGTCATGCATGGACATGTGACTTCCCCATGTGACTCCAAAACTCCATCTTGTAGCTGGAATTCTACACAGAGGGAGGGAGGGGTATCCACCCACAGAAAAAAGGACAGTTACCTGTTCCGTAACTGGCGTTCTTCAAGATGTGTTGCTCAGGTGTATTCCACTATAGGTGTGCGTGCTCGCCACATGCACCGGTGCCGGAAGTTTTTCCCTTAGCAGTATCCGTACTGGGGGAGCACCGCTGCGACCCCTGGAGTGGCGCCAGTATATCATGCCATAAAGGGGGCTGCGCGCACCCCCCACCCTCGGTTCCCTCTTGCCAGACAACTCCGACAGAGGGGAAGGAGGGCGGGACGTGGAATACACCTGAGCAACACATCTCGAAGAACGCCAGATACAGAACAGGTAACTGTCCTTTCTTCTTCGAGTGATTGCTCCTGTGTATTCCACTATAGGTGACTCCAAGCTATCCCTGATGGAGGCGGGTAGGAGTTTAAGTTTTAAGTCTTAAGGGTTACCCCGGCGGAGCACCGCCCTACCAAGCCTGGCGTCATCCCTCATTTGGGAGACGATCGCATAATGCGATGAGAAGGTGTGGACAGAGGACCACGTAGCAGCCCTACAGATGTCCTAAATAGGGACATGAGCCACATAGGCTGCTGACGAGGTCTGGGCTCTCGTCGAATGAGCCTTCACTATAGGAGGCGGGGGAACCCCTGCCAGGTCGTAACAGGTGCGAATGCAAATACTTTTTAAATACCCTTGGGGCAGTAGAGAGGCCAAAGGGGAGGACCATAAACTGGAAGTGGTCCTGACCCACCAGGAAACGGAGGAAGCGCCTGTGACCCTCGACAATGTGGATGTGAAAGTACGCATCCTGGAGGTCCAGCGCCGTAAACCAATCCCCCTGGTCTAGGGATGGAATAATAGAGGCCAGGGACACCATGCGGAATTTGCAACAAACCAGGAACTGGTTGAGATTCCGCAGATCGAGGATGGGCCGAAGCCCACCCTTCGCCTTCGGGATGAGGAAATACCTGGAGTAAAAACCCTTGCCCTGGTATTTCCGAGGTACCCTTTCCACAGCTCCCAAGGAGAGGAGGCGCTCTACCTCCAGGCGGAGGAGGAGGGCATGGTCCGGGTCCCCGGCCAGCTCCTGGGACGGGGGATTGTTGGGAGGGATTGAAACGAATTGCAACCTGTACCCTTGGGAGATGGTGCTGAGAATCCATCAGTCCAACGTTATACGGGACCATTGCAGCCGGAAGGCTGATAAACGGTTGATAAAACAACTTTATTAACTGGGGGGGGTACACTGGCAACAGGCCCTATGACCCCCCTCAACGAGTCAAAAACGCCGTTTCCCTGGCCTCTTGGCCTTCGAAGTCCCAGGTCTTGGGGCCGAACGGGATTGGCGTTGGGACCGACGCCTCTGCTCTCTCTGCCGCTTAGGCAGGGGTTCGTATCTGCCCCGAGCCGGAGGAGCAGAGGTTTGAGGCCTGGGCTTGTCCTTAGAGGGCGGGACGTACAGGCCTAGCGTCTGCAGGGTGGTGCGGGAGTCCTTCATCCCGTGCAGACGGGTGTCTGTCTGGTCAGCAAATAATGCTTTGCCATCAAATGGCAGGTCCTGCATTATAGACTGGGACTCCACGGAGAGCCCCGAGAGCAAGAGCCATGATGCCCTTCGCATGGAGACTGCTGAAGCCATC